GTGTGTGTGTGTGTGTGTGTGTGCGTGTGTGCATGTGTGTGTGTTTCCTCTCCATTTTCTTCTAGTAGCTGCTCCTTGTGAGCCATCCAGTTGGCCTATGTTCTGAAAGTCATGTTTTCGTGTCTCCCCAACCCATTAGGAGATAACACACTCAGACAGTCTTTCCTATCCATTGGAGCCCCCCAAATGTAGCTGTCCCTGGGAGAGCTATGGCTTTGGGGAGGGATTGGTCTTTCCTATGTGGGCGCGAGGTTCCAAGGACTCGAGGGGTGTGAGCCTGGAAGGCTCCCACGTTTTACCGTCACATTGAAAGCTGCTAAAACCCTATCTGCCTTGAACAATCCTATGGGAAACATAACCTCTTGTGGGTCTGGGACAGAGGGTGGCTGGGGAGTGATTTCACCCGCTTCTCCGGCTCCCTCGCCTGGCAGGTGGGGGACTTGGAAACCGGTGGCCAAGGCTAGGGTGTGAGTCTTCGGTTCAGGATGGTGACTCCAGGCCTGGTCTGTCCCTGAGCAGCTAGCTGCCTCACGCCCAGGGAAACGCTCTGGCCCAACTCACTCCTCACAGTTTGGAACCAAGCCCCAGCTCCGTCTCTGTGATCGCTGACCCGGTACCGTGGCCACTCAGAAAAGGGGGCGGGGGTCGCTGAACCTCAGTGTCAGTCTTAATTACCTGACAATCTGGGTAGCCTCCTCCTCTGTGTCGCTGAAACAAACTTGAGGCCTCAACAATGTGCCTTTAAGTCGCTGCCTTGCCTGCAAACTAATCTTCCCAGCCTTCAAATAGTACATAACAAATCCTGCCTGAGTCTTGTAGAACATCCAGGGAGCGATGGGGGGGGGGGGGGGCGGGGTGCAGCGCAGTTGGAGGGACTGTTGTCTCTCTCCCAACCTGAGCCCAAGGTTTGGGTGACACTTGTGACCTTAGAGACCCCAGAAGCCTTTCCAAGGCTCCAGCTTGGGGTTTGAATAAATAACCGAGAGCTGGAGAAGTTTCTCTCTCTTTTCCTTTTACCTTTTTATTTATTTTTAAGAGGAGGAAGACAGAGGCAAAGACACACAGATACATAGAAAGAGAAAGAAAATGTTTGCAATTGTCAAAGCGCTTTCCCCAAGACCTGCTTTTTTTCTGGTGCCCAGACCTCAGTGCATTTCATCTCCAAGCCAAATATTAAAAACCCTGGCAGGCGCGCGGGCAGAGAGCAGCGGCCTTCTCGATCTGGGAACCTCTCCTGGCAACGTCCTTTCCTCCTTTCCCCTGGAAAAGGAAAACGTGCGGCCCCCAGGAAGGAGCGTGAGGCAGCGACAGCCCAGAGCT